AAAATGAGAAAAAAAAAACAAGTTTCCACCTCCTCCCAGCCTCCCATTTCCCTCCCCCTCCTCCCACCCTTCTCCCCCTCCTCCCACTCTTCTCCCCCTCCCCCCACTCCTTTCCCCCTCCCTCTCCAGTCCAAAGAGCAGTCAGGGTTCCCTGCCCTGTGGTAAGTCCTAGACAGTGTAACCTTTTATTATGTGTAATTAATGCATAGTAACAAAATGCCCAATGGGCGGTGGTGGCACCTTTAATCTCAGCACTCAGGAGGCAGAGGCAGGCCGATCTCTGAGTTCGTGGCCAGCCTGGTCTACATGAGCTAGTTCCAGGACAGATTCCAAAGCCACAGAGAAACTGTCTCAAAAAAACAAAAAGAAAAAGAAAAAAAACACCAAAATGCCCACACTTGATTAGGAGGGGTTGCTATATAGGAGGCTTTTTTCCTAGATTTTCTTCACTGTGACATAATTTCCTCTTTTTATTATGACATACATACATATTCTATGTGTATGTACTTGACACATACCTTTCTAGATTGTTTTTATATATTTGCATATTCTTGTTCCTTCCTCACCTTTGACACACACAGCTGTCTTTGTTTTGCTTTTTAATAAAACCATATAACCAAGAGGACAAGAGAAACCATAAAAGCACTTCTCCAAAACTGCTTGCAAGATGGTCTCTCCCGAGTTTGGGTTCTTGAAGTTTCTGCTAAGGACTAGTGATAGCAGGCCTTGTTTATTGCCTCAGCCCCAGCTCTGGTATGAAGACTAGGAACAAGGTAGCTGTTGTGTGTTCTTACAGCCCTGAAACATGTATCTGATGACATGAAGACTCACAAGAACCCTGCCCTGAAAGCTCAGAGTGGTCCAGTTCGGAGTGGCCCCAAACCCTTCTCTGCACCTAAACCCCAAACCAGCCCCTCCCCCAAACCAGCCCCAAAGAAGGAGCCAGCTGTGCTGGAACTGGAAGGCAAGAAGTGGCGAGTGGTGAGTTAAAGGGGCTGGACTCTGGGGAGGGGGCGGAGCAGTGGTGCTTTACCCAGAATTCAGCTGAAATGTGCAGGGGATGGCTTATAGCGAGGAACAAAGGTTTGGGCTGAGGTGTTGGTTTTGTGGATGTGTGCTTTGTGCTAAGAATCCTGGGGTGTGTCTTCATAGGAAAACCAGGAGAACGTTTCCAACCTGTTGATTGAGGACACTGAGCTGAAACAGGTGGCTTACATATACAAGTGTGTCAACACGACATTGCAAATCAAGGGCAAAATTAACTCCATTACAGTAGGTGAGTCCTTCTTGCTGCCCTAGGCAGGTTCTGACCTAGAGCCCCAGAGGGCTAGAGTCATTTCCACGTCTTTGGAAGTCCTTCCACTCTGTCCTTTGCAGTTACACTGTTGATCTGCTTCTTCTCCTAGATAACTGCAAGAAGCTCGGCCTGGTGTTTGATGACGTGGTGGGCATTGTGGAGATAATCAATAGTAGAGATGTCAAAGTTCAGGTAAATGATATCTCGGCTCCTCCTTTTGGTCCCTGATAGATAATTGATAGATACAGCAGACTCACAGATGCTCCTTGGGCAGGAATCTGATTCTCCAAAGTCTGTAAGCTGAGCTGGTTTGCATGTGGCAGAAGTCGGCTCTTTAAGGAAGCTCTTTCCAGGACTTAGCCCGGCCCATCCATTTCTAGTAGCTGTTGGGGGGTGGGGGGGGGGTGTTTGTGAAATAGTGCAATCACTTAAAACAGTGAACATTCTCTCCGCAGCTTAGTCTACCCTTCTCTGCTAGAACTCAGTTGTCTTGGTTTTCTCTACAGGTGATGGGAAAAGTGCCAACCATTTCCATTAACAAAACAGATGGCTGCCATGCTTACCTGAGCAAGAACTCCCTGGACTGTGAGATAGTCAGTGCCAAATCTTCTGAGATGAACGTCCTCATTCCTACAGAAGGCGGAGATTTTGTAAGTCCTCTCTCTCTCTCTCTCTCTCTCTCTCTCTCTCTCTCTCTCTCTTTCTCTTTCTGTGCCTCTTCCTCAGCCTCTTGTACTCCAGGCCGGCCTGGAGCTCTTTGGTGATCCTCCCGCCTCTGCCTCCCACATGCTGGGATATAGCACAGGGCCGTTTCTTTGCTGCTGAAGATTGAACCCAGGGCTTTGTTGCATGCTAGGCAAGCGCTCTACCAATTAAGTTATATCCCTGAGGAACTTGACATTAAAACCGGAAGAAACGAGCTGAGCCTCTTGGTATACACATGTATTCCCTACATTCAGGAGGCTGAGCTAGGAAGATTTGAGTTCGAGGCCAGCCTGGGTTACGTAGTAAACTGTCTCTTGAAACCAAAGACTTATGGAATTAGAGAAAGCTATTTGATGGACATTTTGCATTCTGTAGGTAAATCCAAAACAGTGCACACAGAAGCCAGGTAGTTCTGTGAAGTGACTCCAAGGGGAGGGTCATTCCTGCCTTTCTCAGCTCACTGAGAGTCAGAGGGCCCCCCCCCCCCAATCAAGCTGGTGTCTAAGGCTAAGCCTGTCAGGGTCGTAGATCACCAGAGAGTGGGCAGCACAGTGCAGCATGGCTGCTGGTGAGGTTTGTCTCACACCACCTACACAGCTCTCAAGGTTAAGTGGAAGCCGGGCGTTGGCAGAAGTGTGAAGTGTGAAACAGAAACCGCCCAGCTCATTCTATAGGCAGGATTCCAACATGTTACCTCCTGAGTCTGTTGATTTGTGGATTTATTTGGATTTATTTTATGGCTGAGTGTTTTGTCTGTATTATGTAGTTGCACCATATGTGTGACTGGTGCCTGAGGTCAGAAGAGGGTGTCAGATCACCCGGAACCAGAACTACAGATTGTTGGGAGCCACCCTTGGGTGCCGGGAATCAAACCCAGGTCTCCAAGAGCAGCCAGGGCTTTTAACCACTGAGCCATCTCTACCTCCATCGACTTGTTACCTCTTTTTTACAGAACGAGTTTCCAGTCCCTGAGCAGTTCAAGACCTTGTGGAATGGGCAGAAGTTGGTCACCACAGTGACAGAGATCGCTGGATAAGCGAATGTCCGCGGGTCCTGCGCCCTCCCCTTTCACACCATGGGATACAGCTGTATGGAGACGGTTCTTTTCTAGATTTCCTCTACCTTTCTGCTCTTAAACTGCTTCTCTGCTCTGAGAAGCGCAGCTACCTGCCTTCACTGAATATACCTCAGGCTGAGAATGGGCGGGACAGCAGGTCAGTGGATCTCTGGCGGGAAGGTGCATGGCTCCGCACCAGCGCAGCTGCACCATAGTCCATGCTTAAGAGCTGCGGGCCCAGGCTGGAGCTTTCAGCTTTGGGGGTCATTCTACCAACAAACAATCCTTGGGGGGAAACATCCTGGAAACAAACAGATCAGAATGTGTTCTAATCTAACAGCCAGCATGGCGGCAGCAGGAGCCAGTGTGACTCCGTAAGGTTCTAACCAATCTAATTGTTCATCGTTGAGAAGTGAGGCCAGGGTTGCACTGGACCAAAGGCTAAGGCTTGCCACTCAGCATTCTAAGCAGACTTGTTTCCTAAAAGCATTCCTTCATTCTGCATTCCATTCTGGGTCAGCCTCAACCACAAAGTAGCAGGCTTTCTGCTCTCAGCTGCAGTAGCAGTACCATTTTTGAGGGAAAAAGTCTCAACCCTTTTTTTCTCCCTCTGGGATGACCACCTTGGTTCTCACGGGGCCAGCTTAAAAAGCAAAGCAAAGCAGCACACCATTCCAAGGAGTCTGGTGGTCCTCTTCCCTGCCCATGCCCGTCATGCTCGGCAGCTTAGCGCCTCACTGCGGGCCCCTGAGCAGGGCGAGACCTCCACCGCAGGTTGTCTGGGTCTTGATTTCCGTACGAATCTTGCACAGCATTGCTATTGTAAATCCCAGCTCTCCCTCTAGGACACACTGACCAAAATATGCAACGTTTTTTGTTTTGTTTTTGGTGGGAAGAGAGATTGTCCTGTGACTTCTGCCCGTTTCCTGAGGCCTGTGGAAATAAACCTTTATGTACTTAAAGTTATACAGAAAATAGAATAAAGTTAATACCAAACTTGTTCAGTTATTCACCTCATCTGTACTGAGATGTGAAAACACTGGAAACGACACAAGGGTAAGAAACTACTCTTTATTTCAGACAGCCTGTAAAGTGAGCGTCACACCCTCCCACTGCCTGCCCTACCCCGTATCTTGTTATTGAAGATTTGAGAAAAGGAAAAACTGGCAAGGGGTGGATTCTGCAGTGCTAAAGTATCATCCAGAAAGTGCTACGGCCTCAGCCTGAGTGCTAACGGGTCCAAGCTCAGATGGCACATGGAGTGGGGGCAGTGTCTCTAACCATCAGAGTCATCGCCGGATACTAACGTAGGAAAAGGAAGTCTACAATTCTCTTCAGTCTTTCTCGAACCCAGTCAGCAGCAGCTTGGAGTATGCTGATAAATAGGATTTGGGGTAGAAGTGTAAAAGTCCCACCTTTTCAGACTTCCTCCTGTTTGCAATAGTGTGAGCGACACTTAGGCCACTAGAGCTATGGAGGCCCTTTGTAAGAACAGTGACAAGAACAGTCACCACCTGGCGTCCACTTCCACTTCCCCTTCCCCACTGTCTCATGGTAAATAAGACACACATTGTGGTGTGCAGGCCTTTGGTCCCCAACACTCAGGGCGGAGGAGCTCTGTGAGTTCAAGGTCAGTCCACTCTTCATAGTGAGTTCAGCCAGCTAGGGCTACAAAGTGAGACTCTGTCTCAAAAAAGTGCATTTCTTCTCCTAAGCCACCCTGCTAGCCGTTCCCTCGTTTTGTGACTAATTCTATCACTGAGGGTTCAAGGCGAGTTCTGTGGGGACATGAAGGCAGGCCTGTGGAGTGACTGCTAGGAGCCACTAGAAGGCAACCCTTAGATAGGAAGACAGCCTTAGGAAATGATGCAGAAACGTGCAGGCGATGCTGTCCGAGCAGCGCCCGCAGCAGCAGCGCCAAGAAAGTGCTGTGTGAGCACCTCAGGACAGCACCATCAGGCTTTTATTTGTTCCAAATTTGTGTGGGTTTATGCCCTCAGTCTGTCTCCCTGCTTCATTTTCTTGTCCCCTTTGGGCACAATCACTGATCTGCAACAGCAGACTCCCTTCTTAAGAGGAAGCCTGACCATATCACAAGGTCGTAAAACAATCGCCATGGTTATTAGCTAATTAAATTTGAATTCAACACCATATGGTTCTAGGAGGCGGCAAAGGATAAGATTCAGATCTTAGATCTTTCCAAGTAGGGCATGTTAGATAACAGGAGAGGAGGGCTGATTGCAAGCTAGGTTAGAGATCAGGGTCGGCCATGGAGAGCTGGGCTTTCCTGAGCTCTGCTGCAAAGTGCAAGGGATTCACTTAAGAAAAGGTATGATGTGGGCATGAAACCATTCTTTAGACAGTTGGAGATGGTCCCCCTCCTTAGCCAGAAACACCAGCTTTCCTGCTTTGTCCATTTGCTTTAGTCCCAGGCGGTCCTGTAGAGAGAAAGGCCATAATGAACTCAAGAGCTTAATGGAAGGTTTTAGACTAACGACAATGTGTACAGCATTCGTCTCAAAGTACATTTTCCCTTCAGTATTAAAATAGAGCTGTGTTGTTGGGGGGAGGGGGAAGGATGCTTCCTTTCAGGATTTTATTTTGGATTTTTGAGCTAAGGTCTTGCTTTATAGCCCAGGCTGGCCTCGAACTTGCAGCAATCCTGCCTCAGCCTCCTAAGTGGCAAGGGGGATTTTACTGTTTTACTATTATGCCTGGCTCCTTCAGCTGCCTCTAAGCATTAAAAATACATGGCAGCTGGAGAGATGGCTCAGTGGTTAAGAGCATGGGCAGCTTTTCCAGAGGTCCTGAGTTAAGTTCCCAGCAACCGCATAATGGCTCTCACACCGCTTCTATAATGCGATTTGATGTCCTCTTCTGCCATGCAGGTGTACTAGCAGGTAAAGCACCGTATGCATTGGGAAAAAGTGGGGGAGGTAAGCCAGCATAGTGACCCATTCCTTTAATTCAGGAGCCAGAGACAGGTGGGTCTCTGAGTTCAAGACCAGCTGGGTTTATATAAAGAGTTCCAGGATAGCCAGGACTACATAGAGATGCTGTTTTTTGTTTTTTTTTTTTTAATATGCAGCTGAGATTGTTCTGATTCTGCTGCACTCCTAACCCCTGCAAGGTGCTAGAAATAACCCCTGGACCTGAGCTTCAACCCCAGTGCCTGTAGTCAGCTTTCTGAAAAGCAGCTGGACAAGCCCCAGGCAAACCCGGCACAGAGCAGCTATTGTGAAGTGGGACTGAGCCAAAGACAGGAGAAAACTGGTCAAATGTTCTAAGATACAGTATATCCAATTCTCAGGATCATGAACTTGGGACCTGTTAGTGGCTTGCAGTTAGAGTGCCATCCCCCAATAGCCAGGCTGTCAGTCTCTTGCTGATAGAAACTAGTGGCAGAACAAGCCGCTGCTTGTCTGTCTACCCCTGGGTTTGAGTTTCATGATAAGGAGGATCTTGGCTGTAATTTCCAAGGCTGCCAGAAACTAGCTTCCCTTTCTTCCACCTCACTCACCCGTAGGCACACCACGTGTACGAGAAAAGCAGAGGAAACCATGCCTCTGAAATTGCGGGGACACACTCAAGTAAATATGAATCAGGTGTGGTTCTTGGGCGCTTGTGAGTCCATCTCCAGTATAAAGTATAAACTCTTCAGTTTGTGGCAGGCCGCACTGGATGTGGTGAAACACTGTAACATCTGCTTGAGAAACAGCCCGGGTCCAGATCTTAAAGTAGCCTGACACCTTGCCCATGTCTGCATTTACTTAGAGGCTTCTGGAATTTGTAGTAAACTCTGCAAACCTTTTCTTCAAAAGTAAAACAGAGATGCAGCTTCTCTTTGTGTTTAAAATGGGATGCAGTAGAAAGCTGTAAACCAGCACCTAGGAAGTTAGTGTGACAAGCAACAGCTGCAACAGCTCAATAAGGCCCAAGTCAGATGGCTCACGAGTGTTCTAGGACAAACAAGGCAAGGGCCTGCCCTCAAACAGGGCCCAGCAGCTCCAGGAGCCAGGGCTGATGACAGAAACAGTGTCAACCTCCCAAGGCAGATCACTCCCTCTCTTACCTCTTTTTTTTTTTTTTTTAATGTTTTCTTATGTGTACAGTTTTCTAACTGCATGTACACTTGCAGGCCAGAAGAGGGCACCAGATCTCATTACAGATGGTTGTCAGCCACCAAGTGGTTGCTGGGAATTGAACTCAGGACCTCTGGAAGAGCAGTCAGTGCTCTTAACCTCTGAGCCATCTCTCCAGCCCCCTCTCTTACCTCTTTGTATATAGTGCTCTCCTGGACAGGAATGGTTTCCTTAGCTTGGCCACTTATGTAAAATCCAAACCACTGCAGGAGAGAAGGAAAAAGAATAGGTCATATTCGACGCTAGCTAGCACCTGAAACTACCAGCAAAATGAACACTGTCGTATATGCAACATAAGCAAGAAGGAAGAATGGGAGTGGGGCCTTGGTTTTGGGGACCTGGAACTCCCTTGTGTAGCTCAGGTTGATCTTAACCTGGCAAGCTATCCGTCTGAGCCTTCTGAATTCTAGAACTATAGCCATGTGCCAGCATACGTAACATACAGGTATATCATGTCATCTCATTTTAACAGCCAATCCTGAGGGAGGACTCTTTCTCCGGTTTTCTATTTCCCTGCCACTTCTGCTTCCTTCACTGAGGGCAGATGAAAGCCCCCGTGCCGCCCCAGTCATTCGAGGATAAATACATAAGCCCCTTCCCCAGACTCCCAGTCTAGCAGGCACAGAACCAGTTCGTTGTTCAGCACTGGGTCAGATAGAGAATCACATGGTTGTGGCTTCTTACTTGGCACTGTGATGCAAAGGGAGCAACAGTATGAACACGGGCAAGGATTTCTAATGGGATGCATTTGGAAATTTGGCATTCATCTAGTTTTCATAGCATAAAATATCTTGATTTTTTTTTCTCCAGTCATTTATATATGTAAAAATTCTGAGCTCGGGCTGGAGAGATGGTTCAGAGGTTAAGAGCATTGCCTGTTCTTCCAAAGGTCCTGAGTTCAATTCCCAGCAACCACATGGTGGCTCACAACCATCTGTAATGGGGTCTGGTGTGGCCTGCAGGCATACACACACACAGAATATTGTATACATAATAAATAAATAGTAAAAAAGAAAAAAAAATTCTGAGATCATAGGCCACTCAAAAATACGGTGAGATTTGGCCCTCAGGCTGCCATCCCCTCCCAGCTGTGATCTGACTGTGAGCAGAGCTTCAGCTGAGGCAGCTGGTGGTTCTTCCTCTCCGTCTTCCCAGCACTCAAAAGGAGAGGGAGAAGGATCAGTGCGAGTTGGAGGCCAGCCCGGGCTACAGAGTGAGGGCTCCAGTAAAGTGAGAGCTGAATTCTGGGAGTAGGGGCCGTGTCCTAAAGGAAGGGACATTGTATTTAGCCTTAGCAAAAGAACAGGAGTTTGTCAGGGGGAGAAGCCAGGGGAAAGCATTCAAAAGACGAAGGCTCATGAAAGAAGCCTCCCAACAGGGTCGGGGCATTTCGAAACAAAAATACGGGAGATGAAGCTGTAAAGATTGTTACCTCTAAATCACGGCAGACCTGGACATCAAGCTTAGGGGCTCATAAATACGGGGCTAGTCATTCTGAATCCCTTTTGGGACATATCTCTGAGAACCTGATTAAAACTAAACTGTACCAAATTTACTGGGTGCAACTAGGGGATTGCAGCTGATTTCCTGGGTGCAAAGTTGGTGGGAGGACAGGTTTGCCCAGGAAGCAGCCGCCGCCTGTGCCATTGACTCCCTACAGTCTCTTGGCACACTGTGGCCGCGTGTCTCACCTCAGAGTCTACCGGGTCCACAATGGAATCGTTGAGGAATTTCACCATCACGAACTTCTTGAGGGCCATCAGGTTCTTCTTGTAGGACTCGTTGACACTCTGGAAGAAGAGCAGTAGTGCAGGGTTGCTACTGTCAAGTTCGGGCAGCGATTCAGAGTTCAGCCTTCCCTTAAAAGCTGTCTGACTGGCGTGTTATCAGCCAGGCTGGATTCTCCCATGAGTTCTGCCCACGTACTCTATATACATTAGTCACTTCGGTCACAGGCTTCAAACCAAGGCAAACAAACAGAATTCTGGGTTGTTCTGTCACCGGATTCAGCATTGTTTCCTGACTTTTTTTTTTGTTGTTTATTGTCCTCTTCAACTTTTTTTTTTTCATTTTTTTAAAAAATGTTCTTTTTTTTATATTTATTTATTTATTTATTATGTATACAATATTCTGTCTGTGTGTGTCCACAGGCCAGACGAGGGCACTAAATCTCATTACAGATGGTTGTGAGCCACCATGTGGTTGCTGGGAATTGAACTCATGACCTTTGGAAGAGCAGGCAATGCTCTTAACCACTGAGCCATCTCTCCAGCCCCCTGTCCTCTTCAACTTTTTGCTTTCAAACAACAAATGCCCTCTACTTAGCCATCATATAAAATGAACCATTCAATTGGCCAGAATGTCCCAAACCATGCTCATGCTTGGGTACAGTCTCTGCCTTTTCTTTTTTTTTTTCTTTTTTTTTTTTAATTTATTTATTTATTAAGGATTTCTGCCTCGTCCCCACAACCGCTTCCCATTTCCCTCCCTCTCCCCCGATCAAGTCCCCCTCCCTCATCTGCTCGAAGAGCAATCAGAGTTCCCTGACCTGTGGGAAGCCCAAGGACTGCCCACCTCTATCCAGGTCTCGTAAGGTGAGCATTCAAACTGCCTAGGCTCCCACAAAGCCAGTACGTGCAGTAGGATCAAAAGTCTCTGCCTTTTCTAGAGTTTCTTAAGTCCCATCTAAGCCGGGCGGTGGTGGTGCACACCTTTAACGCCAGCACTTGGAGGCAGAGGCAGGTGGATCTTTGTGAGTTCAAGGCCAGCCTGGTCTATAGAGCGAGTTCCAGGGCAGCCAGGGCTGTTACACAGAGAAACCCTATCTTGAAAAAACAAAAACAAAGCCGGGTGATGGTGGCGCACGCCTTTAATCCCAGCACTCGGGAGGCAGAGGCAGGTGGATCTCTGTGAGTTCGAGACCAGCCTCGTCTACAGAGCTAGTTCCAGGACAGGCTCCAAAGCCACAGAGAAACCCTGTCTCGAAAAACAAAACAAAAAAAAAAAAACAAAAAAAAAAAACAAAAAAGAAAAAACAAGAACAAAAAAACGTGCTTTGTGCAGTCAGCAACTGTGAATTCCCACTTTGCCCAGCAGGCCACCTACTGTCACCTCATTCTGCTGCTTCAACATGAAGAAAGCGGAGGGCTTCAGGGAGGAGTAGGGCCAGATGGAACTCATGAGTACTGCCTCTCACATTCAAAACCCTTGGTTCTTGGCTTCTGCTTGGGGTATTTTTCGTAAATGGGCACTGGTTGATTTCTTTCTGACAGCCAGAAAGAAAGGCCTAACCACGGGAGCAGTTTGGGTGCTTACCCTTTCTTGATTTATGTCTGCCAGGAAGATGCTGTGGTTGCGGTACACATCCTCCTTGATGGGGTCATGCCAGTACTGTGCTTGCACCAGGCTGAGGAAGAGAAGGAACGAAGGTGCTTCTCTGTCAGCATGCCCGGGGCATGCTCCAGTGCCTAGGCAACCAAGAGACTTCAAAAGATGAAGGATCAAAGCCCCTATGTCCCAAACCTTGCCTTCTCATAGGGATGACTTTGTAGACCTGTCAACAAGACATCTGTCTTACTGAGAGGGGGACAGGCCATTTGGAAGATAGAGAAAGTCCAAATATTTGGGGATTCTCTGTCTATCAAGGACCAAATTCCAAAGATTTTGGCTTTTGATATTCATCAATACTTGGCTTCCTTCTAATCACAGTGGCCCAGGCTGTCTCTCGGCACAGCCCCACCTCCCTACTCTCCTTTGCTTCCTAGTCATCCTGTAAGACGCCCCTTCCTCCCCATTATTACCCCCATCCTTCCTCAGCCAGGCAAGGAGATTTAGCCATCCCGGTGCGACTATCAGGAATCAGAACGACACTCTCTAATCTGTTCATAAATGTATTTGGAGCCAGAGGTGTGGTACCCACCTGAAATACCAACACTTGGGAGGTAGGGGTCAAAAGTTCAAGGTTATCTTCAGCTATATAGTAAATTTGAGGTCAGCCTGGGCTAACATGAGACCCTGTCTCAAAAAATGTATCTGGAAGTTCTAAAAAGTTTAATTTCATTGATACTTCAAAATTCAGAGATATGAGCTAAAGAAATGGCTCAGTGGTTAAGAGCACTGGCTGCTTTTCCAGAGGACCTGGGCTTGTCTCCCCCCACCCACATGGTGGCTCATAGCTGTCTGTTAACTCCAGTTCCCAGGGATCCAATGCCTTCTTTTGGCCTCTCTGGGCACCAGCCACATACATGGTACATGTACACACACAAGCAAAACACCCAGACACATAAAATAAGAATAATATATGAATAAATAAAAACTTCAGGGCTAAAGGTATTCTTAAGAGATAATAGTATTTGTCTGACCTGCAATGGCTTTGATCCCCAGCACTGCAAAAATAATTAGATAAAGAAAAGTTCAACGGACAATTTATTAAGTAGTGCCATCAGTACCGATCTGCCATGCTTGAGTATCACTGCTCGCTCTTGTTCCCTACAGGGCCGGCAGGCCCTTGACAGGCAGTAGACGCTCTAGCCTAAGGGTCTGCTAAATGATGGGTTCACACAGGACGTGAGACAAACTGTGCCTGGATTAGGGGTGTGAGGAGAAGGGAGGCCACAGAGTGAGAACACTGGGTAGGGCACAGATTCAAATGTAGGGCGACATCTTTCCGAGGTGACCGATCCTGGCTCACCAGCACAGTGGGAAGAGATGATGAGGAAGGCCTTTGGACCCAGTCAAGCCAGCTTCCTGGTGGCCTGACTTCCAGGAGGCCAGTGGCTAAGGCTGGAGTGAGGGCAACCATGGCCATGACGCGTCTGCTGTCAAAAGGAGACAGCTAAAAGGAGACGGCAGGAAGATTCCAGGGACATTCCATTGCAAGGGGCTCGATGCCAGTGGCACAGCCCAGAGGAGGCCCGAGGATGAACAGGAGCAGAGGGCCTGGAAGGAGGCTCATGAACAGGCGGAAGAGAAACTGCCTCACTGCCAACTTGTGCCACTGGGGGTAGACTGGAAACTGCCCCACTGCCAACTTGTGCCACTGGGGGTAGACTGGAAACTGCCTCTCTGTCAATTTGTGCCACTGGGGGTAGACTGGAAACTGCCTTACTGCCAACTTGTGCCACTCGGGGTAGACTGGAAAAGGCTGACTAAGCAGTACACAGCAGTAAAGAAACGTCTACGCACTTTGGTTGGTGTTCCGAGACAGAGTTTCACTATGTAGCCTAGGATAGACCCAACTGAACGATCTTCGTGCCTCCATCTCCCCAGTGCTAGGATCACAGACATGCGCCACCACAATCGGACTGTTTTAGTTTGTTTTTATCATGGAAGGCCTTGCTATGTATGTAACCCTGACTGGCTTGGTCCTTCACTATGGAGCCAATACCAGCCTCAAACTGCATTCCAGGTGTGAGGCACCATGCTCTCTGAGGTGCTGGAAACCAAAATTCCATTAATCTATTCTAGTTTGTATGTGTGAGTATACATATATGTTCATATGGGAAGGTATGGGGATGACCCCTGTTCTTGTGGGGTGACAGCGGGTGTCCTCCTCTCTCTCTGCACCACATTCTTTGAGTCAGGGCTCTCACTAAACCTGAAGTTTACAGCTCTGACAGGCAAGTCCCCAGGGGTCCACCTGTCTCACAGTATGGGGGTTGCAGACGCATGCTATCGTGCCCAGCTTTGCATGTAGCTGCTGGCAGTGTGCACCCAGGCCCTCACATTTGCACAGCAAGCATGCTATCCGCTCAGCCGTCTCTCAGCCCCCAGGAAAGTCCTTTTAAGTTTACTGCGGCCTGAGTTGGCTTCTTTCTGGTCATCAGAATCCTCTCTCACGTGAGAGGAAACCTGACAGTGAGGCGGCAGGAAGAAACGTTCCTTCCCTCCACCCCCCACCATGTTGTATGTCTCCCACTGGCCATCTGTGTGAATGAGGCTTTGCTTATATAAACACAGTTTAAAAAGAAAAGGCAAACAACCCGAGCTCTTGAGAGCGCAGAGCGCACAGCCTGGGTGGACTGTGCCGTAAGAGCTGGCTAGTGACACAAAACACTCCCCAAGCCACCTTTCCCTCTGTCTAGTTGTCACCACCTTAGTGTCTCGGCCACCACTGTCTGTCAGCTAGACTATCGCGACAGGCCCCAGTGCGCTCGTCTCTTGGTTTTCTAGCCCTCTCAGAATCCTCTTTCCACACAGCAGTAGAGTCTTCAACTTCAAACCTCCACAGCTCCGCACGCCGTCCCGGAGTCCCAGTTCCCTCCCGGGCTGAGTTCTTCAATCAGCCCCGGCTTGTTTACTCAATCTTCCCACAGATCTCTAGTCATCCTGGCCCAGAACAAGCTCGACTTGTCCCTGCCTTTGTGCCGGCTGTTCTTTGCTTGGCTTCTCCCAAGCTCCTTTCATCTCCTCCTTCACACCCAGATTAGAGGTACGGTGGAGGAACCACCTTCTTGCCTGCAGATCCCATCTGATGTGCCTGTTCCCTCTCCCCAACTAAGCACGAGACCAAGGCACCCAACTAGCTTCTATTCCATGGTGTCTATGGAGCCTATGACCAGGTCTGGCAAATAGTAACTCAGTATTTGATGACATCATGAATCAAAGACCTCACAGCTGCAACTAAAAGAGAAAACAAAATGACACTAGCAAAGGAAACAGAAAGCGGAATGTTTTAAATAGAGCCCAACCACAACAACGGCCCAAACCTTTCTGCAGTGGGAACGCAGGCTGCACTGAATAGCTGATACTCAGCTTGCTTATCCCTAAAAATGACTCTTTATCAGTGCATGCTACTGATCTCTCACGACAGAGGTTCAGAGTGCCCAGGGCCACACTGCCAGCTGTTGACAGAATGAGGGCTCTCCAGCGACCCCCAGAGGAAAACCTGAGAAGCCATCTCCTTTCCCTTTATTTTACTTCATTTCCCCTCATACTGGGTTGCTCCTTGGTACAGGCACACAGGACTCGAGCGGACAAGCTCTGCACCACTGTCTTCTGGGTATGCTGCCCCAGGATTGAACTCTTCAGCCGCATCCTGGCTGGGATCTCTTCTCCGTGCCTGATGCTGTGAATTTCACAGGAAAGCGCTGCAGGGTGGCTTTGTTTTCCTTCTGCTCTTGACCGGGTGTTCAGCAAGCCCGTTTAGTATGGAAGCTCATGCATGTAACAGCTTGGACATTTTCTTGTATTACTTCTTTAATTCCAATTCACCCTTCCTCTGCTTGGAAAGTTCCGTTAGTCACACCAGACATTCTAACCGCTTCTCTCTGTTCTCTTTCCTACCTTTGTTTTAGTTACGGTACTATTGCTGTGAAGAGACACCATGACCAAGGCAACTCTTGTAAAGGAAAGCATTTAACTGGGGGCCGGCTTACAGTTTCAGAGGGTCAGTCCATTATCACCATGGTGGGAAGATGGGGATGGAGTGGGAGCAGTAGCTGAGAGCTCGGTGTCCTGATTCACAGGAGCAGAGAGAGAGAGAGAGAGACACTGGGCCTGGTGTGGGCTTTTAAAACCTCAAAGCCCACCCCCAATGACATACTTCCTGTAATAAGGCCACACTTACTCTAACAAGGCCAATCTCCTAATCCTTCCCAAACAATTTACCAACGGGGGACTACTTATGCAAATATGAGTCTATGGGAGCCATTTTCATTCAAGCCACCACAACCTCTTTGAATCTTTAACTTCTAGAAGATTCCCCAACTTTAGATTCCCACATAACTAACAATTAAAAAAAAAATTGGTTGTGATATTTTCAGTTGCCGAAAGTGTTCACTCTGATGGTTGCTTTTATTTGTGATGTCTTGGAGGAACAGATGCAACAGCATCTTCCTCTCTCTGAAGACAATTTTGGCATTTCTTTTTTCTGACCAGGAATGTGGCTCAGTGGTAGACTGCCTACCTGGCAAGCTGCTCCTCTATGACCAGCTCCTACCATGGGGAGGAGAGGGAGGCTGACTGGAAGCCCTTCCTCTGTGAGCAGAGCTCAGCTGGAGCTCATGATCTGGAGACATCAGCACCCAGTAGTTAGGAGGAGGCTTCGTTAGTCATTTCCTCCAGGGAGAGACCCCGCAAACCCTGCCTCGTACGTAACAAGGTTAGCTCCGAGTCGGGTCTCCCGGTTCCACTGCAGGGAGTAGAATTTGCTTCTCCTGCTATGGTGAAGGAATAGCAGTTCCCTGGATGTGCACGTCAGGGAACTGGGGAGTCAGACGGCTCCTGCCTTAGGTTTTCAATGAAAAGGCCCTGGCTTGGGCCCCACACATGTACTATACACCCCCAGTTCCCAAGCCTTCCTGGGGCTTGAGCATGGGCCACAGCAATGTGCCTTCTGCAGAGGTTAAGCCTACAGTCTTCCTCCTGCTCTCCCACGATTCTTACACCCTCCTGTTCGCTCTCTCAAAAACCTGGACTGGTTCTTATTTCCTCTCTTGTTCTCTTGGCCCTGTGAATTTTATCCCTTTTAAGTCCTTTATTATCTTTTATTTTATTTTTCTATTATTTTTACTTTTTTAAGACAAAATCTCACTGTGTCTGTCACTCTTACTGGCCTGGAACTGGCTTTGTAGACCAGGCTGGCCTCACACTCACAGAGATCCACCTGCCTCTGCCTCCCGAGTTCTGGGTTAAAGGCGTGCGTCATCACATCAGGTCTCATGTTTTAAGAACAATTTTTTTTAGATTTATATTTTTATGTATATGGATGTTTTACCAGCACGCATGCCTGTGCACCACATGCAGGCAGTGCCCCCAGAGGCCGTAAGAGGGCACAAGATTCCCTGAGACTAGAGTTATGCACAGTTGTGACATCATTAGCATTACTCCTAGGGTCACCGAGCGTGAATGCCAGCAAGGTACTCCCCCAGTCTGGACCGGACAGCTAAACGCACTCACCGTTCTTGGACAACTTTGGAGTAAGCACCAGCATTAATCGTTTTCCTGATGAAGTCACAGATGTGCGAACTCTCTCCTGGGCATCGAGGGAGGCCAAAGACACCTGTGTAGGTAAAAGATAACCATGCATTACTCCAGTAATCATGTACTGAATGCCCACTGTACTAGGCACCGTGCAAACAAAAACAAAATGACAAAGAGCTTGAATCTGAATTCGTTTACAAAAAAAAAAAAAAAAAAAAAAAAAAAAAAAAAAAGCCCAAGTGCTGAGAACTAACACCACCACCAACTTCCTCTTGGCACTCCCCCAGGGACCTCTGCCTCAGCCCCACCCACATGTGGCTGCTACACACAGCGCATGACTGCCTCATCCTCTTTCTTGGGAATCATCTGACTCCCTGTCCCCATCCCCCTCCCAGGTCATGCTTTCATCCATGCACCTCCCCTTCCTTTAAATCCCTGTGTAGATTACTTTTGACACCTAAGATGGTGTAAGCACTTCCTGGATTGCCATTACACCGTATTGTTTGGGGAGTGAGCAAAGTCTCTACGTGTTCAGTGCAGATGCGATAGTTCCCATATCCTCCCTCCCCACTCCTGTTCCTCTCTCTGAAGACAGGCAGAGTCTAAGAGAGCCCAGGTTGAACTCAAGCTCTCTGAGGATGATTCTCCTGCCCTCACTCCCTAAATGCTGGGATTCTAGGCACACACAACCACCATGGCCTTTCCCAGAAGAGGTCTCATCCGTGGATCTTTGCATCAACAGACAGGGAACTCATGCATGGATTCAGAAGGCCAAACGTATGCTGGGGTACAGCCCTGAGGTAGAGTTCTTGCCTTACATGTGAACACACACACACACATGCACACACACACGGGCACACACATGTTTGCGCCTAGATCTAGACCATCTCTGCATGCCCAGGCCATGTTCTGGAGATGAGACTTTAGCGCCTGCTTCTCTTGGTAAGGACAGCTCTTGCCCTTCATCACAAGGACTTCTTTCTGTAGCAATCTCCATTTCTATTGGTCAAAATGCAGAGAACAATTGATTGTGAGGTGCCCAACTGCAATGGACACATCTCCAGCCCTACACATCCAGGGAACAGGGAAGAAGGGGGCAAGAGAGCGCAAGGGCCAGAGGGCCAGCACGGCTGCTGGTTAGAGTGTCATCTGTATATGACAGGGATGTTACACCCATGGAATCTCAGCAATATGGTCACCTACACAAGATTTGCATAATGACAACACTAGTTGACGTGCCAGCGCAGGTGGGAGAAACCACACAGGGCCCAACCCCTAGATGAAGAACCAGAAGCAGTTAATGATGGCAGAGGGAAGGAGAAGCAGTCTTCAGGATGAGTCCCTGGTGGGTCACCCAGTCCAAGTGATCATATACTTATGAGCAGCACTAAATGGACTCAGCAGCGCTCTCTCTCTCTCTCTCTCTCTCTCTCTCTCTCTCTCTCTCTCTCTCACACACACACACACACACACACACACACACGGCGTGGTGGTGCCTGCCTATGATCTCATCACCCAGGCGGCTGAAGAAGAACTGCTAAGAGTTTAAGCGTAGCCTAGGCTACCAAACAAGACCTTATCTAAAAAGAAGGGGGAGGAAGAGGAGGGAAAAGAAAGAGAGACAGACAAGAAGGAAGGGAAAAACTGAAAGAAAAAAGAAATACAAAACATCAGCTAAATACGGGTTTGAAAAGAGGAGGAGACCCATGGGACAAGGGGGAACATTACCTTGATGTTGTCCCCCAACTGAGATCAGGTTGATCATGGGAGGCGACGGGCATCTCTGGGCCACTGCCCTCCTGCAGAAGTCAAAGGTGGCTGTCAGCGCTGAAGGTCAGATTGGAATTATCAACAGTCACTTCACAGATTAAGCTATCTACTACACCATGGGTTCCCAAACCATGGAGTTCCTGGGTTTTCCTCCTAGCTGTATATAAATCTTACTTCACAGAAAACACAGCAAGAGGGGCTGAGAAGATGGCTCAGTGAAGCCATAAGGACCTGAGTGTGGACTGCATGCTCCCCCTTAAAAAAAAAAAAAAAAAAAAAAAAAAGCAAAGAAAAAGCCTGGTACAGCAGTTCCGGGAATATCAGCACACACATAATTAATACCAAAATAAAATCCTTAACATTTTTTTCCAAAAAACGTAAGGTTGAGAGTAATTGAGGAACACACTGCACATTGACCTTTGGCCTCCACACACATGCTCATACATGTGCACACACAGAGAAGGAAGAAAGAAGTTCCACACAGCTGCTTACACAGTGACAATTTAAGACTGACTTCTTTCTGTGAGACAGGGGGATCCCCAAATAAGTGCAGCCAATTGACCTGAGCAGAAACATCAGTTCCCTGTGAGGAATGGCACGGTACAGGAGGGTACTTACAGAAACTGGCCTCCCTGGGAGAAGCCCATGGCATTGTACCCCTGCTGCAACTTTGGATCCTTTTCCAGAATCTGGCACACTATCTTCACTTGGGAATTGACATTCAAGAAGAAACTGTTCTCTACATCCTAAAAAAGGAGCAGGGAGGTAAAAGGAAGGAACGGTATGCAGACAGCGTCTTCTCTAAGGCAGGGGCTGACCCAGATCCATGCCCTCATCTGACCACTGGAGTTCAAGTATCAGCTGAGCATCCAGGAACAACCCTGCAGGGAAGCACCTGGGAGGATGAGGCAGGAAGATCACGTTCCAGGCCAGCCTAGGCTACATGCAAAACCCTCCATCCCCAAACAAAATGAAACTGAACCAGTGGGGCTATGGCTTGCTGCTAAAAATGCAAAGTGAAGTATTCAAATAGCACACTTTATCAAGCCCGGCAGCAAACCTCCCAGGGAACGAGCTGCCATCTTACCTCCATCATGTTCTTCCCAATCTCGAGAGACAGGACATAAATCCCAGGAAGTTCCTTTTCAACCATCTTTTTAATGGCACCCATGCTTAAGGGGTTGCAACAGCTGTCTCCTGGCCAAGGAAAATGGTGACGGAAATTGGCGAATCAAAATGTTGTTCAAGAAACAGAAACATTTTATGTCTCAAAGGGCGAAATCAAGGATGTGAAAGGGTGGCGTACAGAGTGGAGAGACCTGAAAACGATGGTCTACCGCAGGGCTTCTCCAGCTGTGCCCACACGGTGCCCTTCTCAGCTTAGAAATGCTTACGAGACCTTGGCTATATGGGTGCATGAAGTATGTATACAAATCAAATATTTACTAATAATAAATCATAAAGAAGTTTATTATAAGACAATTCTTTGGCACAAATTTGACTATTTATTAAGGGAGAAATTAATTTCACAAAATTATAAAATAGAGGTACTTGGTTATATTTCCATAGAGAATTACATTTTAATCTGGGCATAGTGGATCACGCTCTAAACCCAGCACTCAGGAGGCAAAAACAGTCAGATCTCTGTAAGTTTGAGGCCAGGCTGGTCTACATGCTGAGTTCCAGTCTAGCCAGAGCTATATAGTAAGACCCTATCTGTAGTGGTGCATGCCTTTAATCCCAGCACTTCAGAGACAGAGGCAAGAGAACAGCTTGGTCTAAAGAGTGAGTTCCAGGACAGCTAGAGCTACTCAGAGAGACTCCATCTTAAACAAACAGGAATTGAGCTCTGGCTGAATAGTTGATAATGAAAGACACAGAGCATCCTCGGTGTTTCTCATAGTTAACCAATATATTGATTTTATAACCATTAATACTGAAACTGCTGACACAAATATATAGCACAAATATCAGAAGCATGCTTGTTTCAGAAACTGTTGGAAGTGTGTCCTAATCCCCAAACAAAATTCACTTACTGATTTTTAGATGAAACTCAAGTCAGCAACTCAAACAGCAATTTTTAAATTTTTATTTATTTTAACTGATGTTAATGAGGTTTGCTTGCATGTAAGTGCATCGCATGTGTGCCTGGTGCTTGTGGAGACCAGAAGAGGGAGTCAGAGGCCCTGAAAGCGGAGTTGCAGGCAACTGTAAGCTACCATGCGAGTGCTGGGAACCAAACTGGAGTCCGCTGAAGATCAGAAGTTCTCCAGACCTCTCCAACGGCAATTTTAAAATTAATCATTGGAACACAATATGATAGTAAGATTTGGTACTTACACACTGAAGGAAATATTAAGTCTTCATTTCTGACAATAGAACCACTATAAGAGCATAAGACGTGTGCACAGCAGAGCACTGGGGTTCATGACACCAGCAGCCTGGAGTCTGAGCAGAGTGTCCGAAGGCGGTATTTTGTTGTTCACGGCAGGACGGCATGTACAATGCCAAGTGCACGTGCTCTGTGTTCAGAACCAAGGCCCCAGTGGAGTGGGAGAAGCTAACATGGCCAGAAATAACTTGACTCATTTCATCCATGGATATTGAATGAAATTTTGCTCATTGAGGGTTCAGAATACTGTTGCCACACTTTTCGAGATCCCCGCATTTAGTGACATAATCCCATATGGGTCTCTGACCCACAATGTAAGAAGTTAGAAGCCAAAAGTTGAGACGTCAGACTCTAGAAGGAGAGAAAATACTTGTGGAACATGTATCTGAGTGTCCAGATACACAAGTCATTCTTACAATTCAACAAGGCGAACAATATAATTATAAAATGGGGGCGGGCTGGAGAGAGGGTTCAACCATTGAGAATGCTCGCTGCTTGTAGTGGGTTGGATAAGAAAGGCCCCACAGGCTCATATATTTGAATGCTTAGTCAAGCTGTGAAACTCTTTGATAGGATTAGAAGGACTAGGGGGTGTGGTCTTGTTGGAGGAAGTGTGTCATTGGAGGTGGACTCTGAGGGTTTCAAAAGACCATAGCAGGTGCAGTCTGTCTGTCTGTCTCTCTGTCTCTGACCTGTCTGTCTGTCTCTGCTTGTGGATCCGGATGTAGCAGCTCTCAGCTACTACTTCAGTACCAGGCATGTCACCATCTTCCCCACCATGATGATAATGGACTGAACCTCTGAAACTGTGAGCCAGCCCCAGTTAAATGTTTTCTTTTATAAGAGTTGCCTTGGTCATGGTGTCTCTTCACAGCAACAGAACACTGACCAAGATATTGCTCTGTCAGAGGACCTGAGTTTGGTTCCCAGCACTCGTGTTAGATGGCTCACAACCACATGTAACTCCAGATCCAGGAAATCCATCATCTAGCCCCTTGGGCATCTACATGTACTTGACATACACTTACATAGGCACACACATACAGATAAAAATAAAAATAAATATTTTTAAAATGAAAGAAGAGGCTAGAGAGAAGGATCTGTAGTTGAGAGCACTTCCAGAGTTTCTGATCTCAGTTCTTAGAACCCATGTTGGGACCTCACAGCCAACTCTAACTCCAGGGAGCCAGTGAAGCCCTCTACGGGTCTCCATGGGCACACATACACATATGTCGTCAAACAGATGCACATGAATTTTTTAAAAATCTTAAACATAAATCGGGAAAGGATGCAAAGACGTTTCTCCAAGAAGACAGGAAGTCTCCAGCAACATCGCTGTATTTAGATGTGGTTTAAACAGTGAAGTGTCACCTCGTACCCACCTGGATGGCTTAAAAGTAACTCTTATTTATTGTTATTGTTCTTGAGACAGAACCCTGAACGGCCTAGAGCTCCCTACACAGATCAAGCTGGCCTTGGACTCAGAGTTGTCTGTCTACCTCTGCCTCCCTAGTGCTGGGATTAAAGGTGTGTACTATCACACTTAGCAAAAAGTAACATTTTTAAAATTAGAAATTAAGTGTTGGCAAGGACCTGGGGAAATAGGTATGCTTGTACCCTGTTGGTGGAACTATACTGATGCAATCCCTGTGGGGAAGTATGGCAATGAAAAAAAAAATTAAGCATATAACTATAAAATGACCCAGCAATTCCCCTGCTACCTTTATATCCAAGAAAAGTGAAAACGAACATCCAGATAAACCTTACACAAATGCTTACAGTAGCACTGTGGTCATAGCAAAGGCAGAAACTGGGCAAATGTTCATTACTGGATGAACCACCTGTGGTGCGGTCACACAATGGGATACTGTTCACCCATGAACAGGCATGAAGCACTGAAGCATGCTACAACCTCGATGTCCCTCAGAGCATGTTCCGTGCACCAGCCCTACACAGTAGACAGATGGTCTGCTCCTTCACCTGTTCTATCAGAATAAGGAACCGCAGCAGGGAGAACAGGCTGGAGGTTATCAGGAGAGAGAGGAGGGGAGGAAACAAGGACTTAACCATGCGGACGTTTGCCTGGGCAGACAGTCCTGAAACTACAGGGAAGCTGTGGCTGCCTCAGCTGTGACCAGGCTCAACTCCACCGAATTGTGCACTGAAAGCGGTGAAGCTGATGTCACAGGATTGTTCCCTCAGCAGGAACAGATAAAAGAACACTTCCTACATGGCTCTGTCTGTCAGGTGTTAACAAGCTGCAGGGGCCACGTGGGGCTGGAGAAGTCACCCCACTGATGGAGTGCTTGCCCAGCATGCACCAGGCCCAGGACAGGACCATAGGACTGTATAAATTGTATAAAGTTGAGCACACGTGGTCCCAGCTCTTGGAAGGCAGAGGGAGGAGGATTAGAACTTCAAGGTTATTCTTTGGCTTCTTAGGGACATTTGAAACTAGTCTGAGCAGCATGAATCCCTGTCTTAAAGCAAAAGAAAGAAATAGAAAAAAAAATCAAAAGCCAGGTGTGTTGCCACACATTTGTAACCCCAGGGACCATGATGGAGGTCAATGAAATACCCGAGGCACAAAATTCAATGAAATATGCCCTGTGAGCTTCTGTGGTGGAAGAATCTTTTCGTACACTGTGAAGATGTGTCTTTGCCAAGGCACCTTCTGATTGGTTTTTAATAAACATCTGAAGTACCAATAGCTAGGCAGGAAGAGGTTAGGTGGGTCTTCCAGGCAGAGAGAGGAAGAGGAGGTGAGGAGGAGGTGCAGGGGAGATGCCAGAGGACATGGAGAGGGAACAGGAGGTACAGATGGAAGAGAGGTAAAAAGCCATGAGGCAAAACATAGGATTAATATAAATGGGCTCATTTAAGTTATAAGAGTTAGTGGGACGAGCATAAGCTATACGCTGAGCTTTCCTAATTAAGTATCCATGTCATTTTTGTGTGTGTGTGAGCTGGAAGCCCAAAGAAGAATGCATCTACAAGCTTTAAGAAAAGGTTGACCTCCCACTTGTACAAATCAAGAGGGAGAACCTCAGCACCTCTACCTAGCCCAGGAATTGTTCCCTTTTCCGCAAAGAATCAGACCTAAGAACAGAAAGCCAACTAGCCACCGAGACGAGAAGTGTCCACTTTACACTTAAAGCGCAGCATCTCAGCTGGACGGGAAGTGTAAGGAGAAAACACCCCGCCCCAGAGAAACTTCTTTCTTTCCTAACAACATCCACCATGTAATGAGTAGGGACAAAAAGGGGCCTTGGCTACATGTCTAGTTCAATGACAGCTTGGCCTACGAAAGATACTGTCTCAAAATACCAAATGAGCCCAGCCTGTTTGCAAATGCCTGTAGTCCTAGCGCGTGGGAAGGGTAGGGGAAGATCAGAAGTTCAAAGTCATTCTTGTCTAGACAACAAATGCACATTCTGAGCTAGCCTGTGCTACATGAAACCTTGTCTCAGTCAAAAACTAGGTCTGGATGTATGTCTTTTGGGTAGAGATGCCCACTGCCAAGCAACTGGAGTTTGATTTCTGGGACCCACTCGGTGGGAGAGAGAGCTGATTGCTGCAAGCTGTTCTCTGACCTCCACATGTGCGCAATGGTGTAGGTGGTACCCTCCACAATAATAAAAAATACTTTAATAAAAAGGCCCCATATGAAACTAAGCAATACACCAAAACAATAACAACACACCCTTCAAATTCCTACATTAAAGAAGCAAAAGCTTTTGCTTTTGTTTTCTTTCGAGACAGGGTCTGGCTATGTACCTCAGCTGGCCTGGGGCTCAGACCCTACTCTTTCAGCTTCCTGGGGGCTCCAAGTACCAGTGTGTGTTACTTTACTGGGTTTAAAAGAATTCTGACTACGTATATACACCCCAAGTGTGCTCCCCTCCAAGCTACCCCTTCTTGGTAAGACAACTTCACTTTCAAGTTGTTCAAGCCAGAAACGATGGCGTCATCTTTGTCCCCTTGGTCTTTCACACCATATCTAAATCCCATGATGCCACCCTCAAGTGTGTCAAAGTTCCAGCCTTCCTTATACTTCCTGTTACCAAACATCTGTCGCTACACGGCTCTGAGCCACAGCCATCTCTAGGGTTTAAGGGACTGCAGTGTCCCCTTGCAGAGCTCTGTGACACCTACAATCTCTTCTCAGCACAGAAACTAAACCAGAAATAAGGGCACAGTGGGACAAGGCAGACAGGTTACCATGTCTTGACTCCATAAGGTCTGACCCACGGAGTCTCTCTTCTCCTTTTCTTCAGTCTGTGGAATTGTCCTGGCCCTGATCCCTGTTCACCTTGTCACAGGAGGAATAGAACAGCTGACTAGCTACAGGAGAGTCAGGGGGGTCTCCAGGACAAACAGGCCGCTGAGCTGAATCTTACATGTGGACTCTCCTTAAGAGGAGTCTTCGAGAAAGTCAGTCTTCACAGCTAATAAATCCACATCCCCAAAGACCCTGGGACTCGCCGGTTGTCACCTCTGTGGACAAGCAGCCTGGATTCCCTGTGGTCACAGCTAACCCTTCTCCTCTGTCCCTTTCTTTCTAATGACAGCTTCTCCCCAGGGCTCTGAGCCATACTGTTTGTGTCAGTGACCAATAGAAAGGTCCGTATGACCATCTAGGGTCACCAACAGAACAACCCTTTGTTTTCATTTTTAACTTTAGTTAAATATATATTATTATTTATGGGTCTCCCCATGTAACTCTGGCTGACCTGGAACTTGCCATATAGGACAGGCCTCAAACTTGCAGAAATCCTCCTGCCTGCCTCCTGAGTGCTGGAATTACAGGCTCCCACTGTGTTGCGTTTGAACAATCTTTTAAAAATGTAAGTCAGGGAGCTGGAGAGAAGGCTCAGTGGTTTGTTCTTGCAGGGTACGTTCCCAGTGCTAGAATGGTGGTTCACATTCCTCTTCTCTTGTTCCCTCTGCTCCTGCTCCCCTGATCTGGACACTCACATGCTCAGCTCGGGGCCTCTGCCCACACATCCATATAGGCATCTTTATCCACTTTAGACGGGTTCGGTTGCCTCTCTCTCTGGGTGACTCCTTTCCTAACAGTGCTCTCTTCAAGCACATGCTCACACCTCCAGCTCTGTCTTCTAGGCTTTCTGTCTGTCCACACTGCACTCACCAACATTCAACACATCTCCCACTTTATAGTATGCTCTCCCCCCCCCACCCCCCCACCCCCGCCACTGGAAAGTAAGTTCCAGAAGGATGAAGAATTCAGTTTGTTTCATGCTCAGATGTAGTTGTGCTGTACAGTAACTGTAAAAAGGTCGTGCAGGTGCCTAGTAGATCTCCATTCAAAGAGTGAAGGAATGAAAGCATGAGTGTGCCGCCCAGCTCTGCAGGGACCGATGGTCCGATGTCAGTTGCTGATAGCTGATGCCATTGCTGCTAGGATTTTAATAAGGACATCCTAAAACACTAGCAGTGCACAGCTCTCCCTGAGCGCTCACTAAAGACACCTGGCTCCCTTCCTTCCTGTGCAGAGAGCCCCCAAATCCCAAAACCTAGATCAGGCGGGTGCCGTGGAATCACTGTCCTCGTCCTTCCAGCTCTGCGATGTGAACCCAGGCGGGGAAAGGATGCCCCTCTCCACGCTCACTCACCCATCCCATGCCAGATCACCAGCGGTGGCGGCGAAGGCGGATTCAGATTCCCCAGCGACCAGGCGGCGCAGCACCAGGGCAGAAGAGCCACAGCCAGGAGCCACCGTGAACCGGGGGACGCCATCTTAGCCCAGTCACATGACCGCGAGCGCGCCCATGACCAAGGCTTTCAGGGTCCCAGGTGACCACGCCCCCGCCGGGCAGTGTCTACCACGAACCAGACGCTGCTATTGTCCAACGGCTTTCCATCTTTTAATTGGTCTATGCACTGCTCTCATTTTACACCCAAGGATACCCAGGTGACAATTTCTCCCCACGGATTTGAAAGCATGTCTAATCTCTAACAACGGTCTCATTTTTGCTTTAATTTATTTTTATTTTGTGTGGGGGCGTTTATAGGTGTGTGGCATGTGTGCCACAGCGTGCGTGTGGAGGTCAGAGGGCAGCTTGCAGGAGTGGGTTCTCTCCTTTCACTGCCAGTCCTGGGATTTGAACTCAGAATTCAGATCATCAGGCTTGGCTGCAGGAGCTTTTCCCAGAGGAGATTATTTTATTTTAGCACGTGTGCATCTGTGTAAGAAAGGAGGCCCACAGAGGCAGCAAACTATTCAGTACTGTGTTGTACCCACTGCCCTTGGGAGAAAAGATGTGTCTTGGAACTGGAGAAGGGAGACTTGATTTTCATCCACTGCTCGTTAGATCATGGTGGGTTTTCTTCTGGGTCTTGAAGGAAATACAGGATTTCAACGGGGCAAAGATGTACTTAGGGAGGAAGAGGTTTTAGCTCCTGCGGGGAGAAAGGAAGCTCTCAGGAATCCAGTCAGGGCTTCCAGATTGGCGTGGCCTGTCAGGTGAGGGGTGAAGCAGGAAGATGGGGGAACATGGCCACTTCCTAGCCAAGCTACACCCTGGTTTACAGCCAGAGGCTCTTGCCCTCTCTGCCCCCACCTCTTTTCTAGCTTCTCTCAGTCCAGCCCAGCATTTCAATTATGGGGTCAAACATTTCCCCCTTAGAAAAGCAATGAAAACGTTCAAGTAGGATGTGTCCAGGGTACAGTGGGCTCTTTGGCACCGGCTTTGTAGAAGATGAAGTCGTCTTACAGAGAGTGACATGAAAAATCTGGAAGAAAAACCGGTCGCACACCCACCTGTTCCACACCGTTGAAACTAGTAGTTACTAGGTAGTTGAGAAGCCAATTAAATACAGGATTAAGAAGCATTATACAGTGCACAGTTTGATAGGCTTCGGTCCAGCAAGGTGATTCAGCTGGATGAAACACTGGCCACTAAGCTTGGTGACCTGATCCATTCCTCATGGGGCTATGATAGCTTGAGGAAAGAAGCAAGTTGTGCAAGTTGTCCTCTGACCTCTGTATACCCACAGTGACCCTCTCCCTCCCCACGTAAACGCACACAGTAAACAAACAAAACATAATACAAAGGAAAATAGCCTTGGGGCTAGGGAGATGTTGTGTTTGTCTCTTACTCTCCTGAATTACTCTTTGCTTCTTAGGGTTTTTTTTGGAGGGTGGGGGGGCTGCCACTCAGCTCTCAAATAAGACGCTCATGCGGAGGCTTATTCTTACTTATAAATGCCTAGCCTGAATTTGACTTATTTCTAGCCAGCTTTTATTAACTTAAATTACCTTTTGCGTCTGGGCTTTTTCCTTTTCTTACTTCTGTATAGCTTACTTTCACTTTTACTGGGTGGCTGTGTGGCTGGGTGGTTGGGGCTGTGTGGCTGGGTGGTTGGGGGCTGTGTGGCTGGGTGGTTGGTGGCTGCGTGGCTGGGCAGCTGGCCCCAAGTATCTTCTCTTCTTTTTTTGATCCTACCTTACTCTGGCCATTCAGTTCTCTCTTTTTTTGTGTGTGATTCTTTTTTTTTTTTTTTTGATTGATATTTACTGAGCTCTACATTTTTCTTTGCTCCTCTCCCTGCCTCTCCCCTCCCTTTCAACCCTCTCCCAAGGTCTCCATGCTCCCAGTTTACTCAGGAGATCTTGTCTTTTTCTACTTCTTGGCCGTTCAGCTCTTTATTAGACCATCAGGTGTTTTAGACAGGCAACGAATCACAGCTTCACAGAGTTAAACGAGTCAGCAAAAACAAAAGTCACGCACCTGAAAATGATACTCCCCAACAGGGAGACACTCAGGCAGTGAAGGGCTTGCTGCAGAAGCGTGAGAACCCGAGTCGGATCCCATACCCACAGGTGTAGACATGTGCACCTGTGACCCCTGTGGGGAGTAAGGACAAGGGGATCCCTGGGGTGTGCTGGCCAGACAGTCTGACTATGTCACCAAGTTCCAGGGTTAATGGGAAACTGTCTCTCAAAAGTAAGGTGAGAGGGACTGAGGAAGAAACCTGATTGGTCTCTCTCATGTAGCCCAGGCTGAGTAGCTGGGGGTGACCTTGGAATCTTAGTCCTCCTGCCTCTGCCTTGAAAGACCTGGTATTATAGCCCCGGGCCACCATACTCTGCTCATTTATTTTTTCCTTTATACATTTTTGTATGATTTGTATTTTTACAGCAAGGATACATAGCAAGACTCATACTGTGTGTGTGTGTCTGTGCATGTGGAGGCCCAGGATGTCCTCAGGAGTTATCTACTTAATTTTGAGAGAGTACCTGGGGCTTGCTAAGCGGCCTTGGCTGCCTGGCCAGAGATGCCCAGGGAGGGATCTGCCTGCCTCTGCCTGCCCAGTGCTAGGATTACAAGCGCTTGCCACCGTGCCTGGAATTTTCACCTGGATTCTGGGGATCAAATCCAGGTCTTTGTGCTTGCAATGTAAGCATCCTCTTGACTGAGCTACCACTCAGTCCTTTTTCTGACACAGAGTCTCACAATGTAGTCCTGGCTGGACAGGAAATTGCCATGTAGACTGTGCTTGGCCTTCAATTTGAGGTGCTCTTTCTACCTTCACCGCCTATTGCTAGAATTACAGGCATTGCCACCATACTGGCTACGGAAACATAACTTTTAAAATCAGAATTTAATGATACATATACACACTGGAGAAGTTGCATATAAAATGCTTCAGCAGCCAATATAGACTCTGGTTCTGTTGGTAAGTGTGGGGGGAAGGTAGCATTTCCCTCCCCGGTAGTTACAGCTACTCCATAACCTGTAGATAGAGACTGCTCATTCGTTTCCCAGCCGCCCAGACCCAAAATAATTACAAAGAAACTATATTAATTACAACACTGCTTGGCTAATTAGCTCATGCATATGTCTAGCTAACTCTTACATCTTGAATTAACCCATTTCTATTAATCTATGTATCACCATGAGGCTCATGGTTTACTGGTAAGATTTTCTTGTGTCTGTCTCCTTTCACAGCTACCTGGCATTTTTTCAACTCTGCCTACTTTCTCTCTATAATCTCTGTTCATATTTGCCATCTGGCTTTACTTTACTAAGCCACTGACCAAAACAGCTTCTTTGATAACCAATGGTAATAAAACATATTCATAACATACAGAGGGGAATCCCACATCATCTCCCCTTTTCTGTCTAAATGAAAAGGAAGGTTTTAACTTTAATATAGTAAAATTACATATAGCAAAACAGGTATCAAGCAAGAATTGAAGTTATAATATTTATATCTACTTTATCTTTAATCATAACTAAGGAAAACTATAATTATAACTATCTATTCTTCAACTTCATCAAACGCCCCAGAAAGATATAATATTACCTAAGTAAACAGGAAGTGCATTGTAAGCAACTTTTAAAACTCTAAAATTGACTGAGACATCTCACTGCCTGGACAGTTTATATTTATATCTCTGTTTATATTTATATCTCTGTTTATATTTCCCATCTGGCTTTACTCTACTAAGCCATTGGCTGAAACAGCTTCTTTAATAGCCAATGCTAATAAAACATAATTCATAGCATATGGAGGGGAATCCCACATCAATAATCCAAAGGCAGAATCCTATGTAACGGGAGGAAAAACAATTATTAGTTAAGAAAATGAAATAATTTGAGAACCATGTTTAAAATCAGGTACTTACTTTTCTAAATAAAACTTTGGTTTATTTGTATGTGTGTGTATCTGTCTGTATGTATGTCTATTTTTATGTGTGTGTATCTATGGATTTGTCTATGTGTATGAACACACATATACTATGGTGCACATGTGGAAGTCAGAGGACAACTTTTGGGAGTCAGTTTTCTCCTTCCACCATGTGAGTCCCAGAGCTGATCTCAGGTTGCCAAATGGTGGCGGGTGCCTTTCCCTGCTGAGCCATCTTGCTGGCCCAAGTACTTAGTTTTATCTGTGTTCTCTGTTTGAGAAGTATATTCTTGGGATGGTGGTGTGGCTCAATAGTAGAGTGCTTGGATCTGCAGCCTGGTTGGAGAGAGGGAGGGAGGGGAAGAAGGTAGGTTTTGTGTGTGTGTATGGTGGATTGAGGTTTCCACACATGCCCATGAGGTCAGTTGCTTCTGTTTCTCAGATTTTCCATGTATCATTTGTATTCTTCATTTTTGAGTTTGGGGAAAACATGCTAAAATCTCTTCCTAACGGTCACAGCGGGTCTTGTTCTCTTTGGCCATCTCATCTACTGATTGTCCCATGTCCAAATATTTTAGACAAACAGTTAAAATTGTCTAGAGGAGAAGCGATGGAGTTCTTACTTCCTCTGAATTTGGTTTTAGGAGGAAACATTTAGTGAGAGATAAGTAAAGTTCTCTCAACTTTAGTTGTGATTTTAATAAGGAGCCTCCAAAGTCGCAAAGCCTGAATTTCCATGTTAACTTCAAAGAGTACTGAAAGCGGCTAAGCTCTCTGCCAGTTCCCCAAATAATTTGTATCGTGCAAGAAACTATGGGAACTGAGAAGCATTCAAAGAAATGAAAGCGTTTTAGATTTTAACCTTCTAATGAACTCACTTGCTAGTAGTATAAGAACCCATTAGCTGAGGAGCTATTGGCAGCTGATGGCTGCGGAGCTGAGAAGGAGTCCCTTCTCTTCTTTGGGGTGTGGCTGTTGCTAGTTACCCATGTTTACCCAGGCAGCACTGATTAGACTCAATGGATTATAGAAAAGGAAGAATAGGAGGTGAGGAGGAGAAGAAGGAGGTAAGGAGGGAGAGGGAGTCCTTCAGCCCATCATGACGGA